GTTATTTAAGATAAGAGCTGGATGGATTCACGCTGCTCTGAATTCCCTTGGTCAGTTTGACAGTTTTATTGGTTCCTGGAAAGGGGATGCGTCTCTATTCAGTGTGTGTTATTTGGTTCTTAGGGAGTGAGTGAGTATGATGTGTGTAAGTGTTGTATATTAGTATGGGTGTGTGTATATATTCAATATGATTTTTTTTTTTTGCCTTCGGTAGGGTAAATTAATATTTGATCGTAGAGCTTTAAGCTTAATTCGAAGTTCAATAAGTGGTGGTGTTATCGTAATATTATTAATTAAAGACTGAGTTAATTAAAACTTTCCATAACGTTATTAAAATTGTAAAGCAGTTAATATTGAGATGAGTTTTCTTCGTCTCACTGACCCTGAGATCATTTCGTAGGCGTTTGTTATGAATAATAAAAAAAACGCATTTCGTTTTTACTTTTGAAATGGCCAAGTCGTGGAATTTTCTCGAAAGTGGTAATCAGTGAAAGCTCCGGCCTAGACATGACTGTAATGCTCTATTTTGGGTCTAATCAGCCTCGTGTTAAGAAATAGAACGAACCCGGTGCTTTCTGGAGCAGTACAAGAAAGTACTTTAGTAAGGAGATAGGACAATAAAAGAACAGGGTTCTGGAAGACAGAAGATGGCGATTGACATTGTATTTTAATTTTTGAAGTTCGTAGACAGCAGGGAAGCAAGAAAACATACGAGAGTTCCAAAGGCGAGAAAAGGAAATATTTAAATAGAACTTACGGTTACATATGGCTATTTTAACATTAAACGATGTCTTAGTGACCAATCTAGTAGTACGCTTAAATTCACACAGTCGGGGAAACCAAGGATGGGATCTCATTAGAACAACTGCCCTGAAAATATTTGTAGTAAAGAAAGAAGGAAGACACGCCACAGCGGTGGGAAAGTGATTGTAATCAAGATGCCAGGTCAAGACCGATACAATTGCCGATCCTTCTTTCGCGGACCAAACAGATATGACAGCATATGCAATGCGCGAAGGAATGTTATATTTATAAATGGATGGCCTCTGAGGAGGAGAAAAATTGTCTGGCACATCACAGTTTACCAACTTCCCTAGCACACTGATTGGCAACTGTTGCAATATGATCGTTCCACCTCATGCCAGTAGAAAAGGTGAGACCAAAAGAAGGAATAATGAGCGAAATGTGTCTCCAAGAGAATCTAATGATGTTCACCAGAAGTGAAACTTTTTAAAAGAAAGAAACTAATGTATCTCATGGGAGAAAGAACAAAAAAAAAAAAAAAAAAGAAAGAAAGAAAGAAAGAAATAACGAATGAAAAGTAGAAATTAATGAATCTCAAGGAAGAAAGAAAGAATGAACGAAAGAAAGAAAGAACAAACGAACGAAAGAAAGAGGAAGTAATGGACCTCAGGAAAGAAAGAAAGTGCGAAAGTAAGTACGAAAGAAAGAAAGTACGAACGAAAGAACAAACGAAAGAAAGAAAGAAAGAAAGAAAAAGGACGAACGAAAGAAAGAAAGAAAAAGAAAAAAGGACAGAAAGAAAGAAAAAAGAAAGAAAGAAATATAAAAAGAAAGGAAAGAGAACTAATGTATCTCAGGAAAGAAAAAAGGAAAATTAATGTATTTGAAAAAAAAAAGAAAGAAAGAAAGCCAGAAAGAAAGAACGAACGAAATGGATGAATGGTTTAATGAATAAATAAATAAATAAATAAATAAATAAAGAAAGAAAGAAAGAAAGAAAGAAAGAAAGAAAAAAAAAACTCGACTGACAAATTGTGGAAAAAGACTGAATCGGAATATTTATAGTGGCGTTTGTCCATTTACCAGCAACGCAAAACTATTCTGCCTTAGTCTATTTTAGATGAAGAAATATAACAGCTGATCAAATCAATGGATGAAATATTTTGGAGACTATTTCTTCAGATCAAGGACCACGTATTTCACATTACTATTTTGTCTTTATACTTTTGCCGTCATGATAATGGCACATTTCACATTTTTCATTTAATACTTCGTAAGTTTTGCGTAACTTTCTGCCATTATAGTTTTCAATTACAACTTATGTTTGTTACATTTCAGAATTCTGGATACTTCTACGGCCGAACTTTTACAATCCTCGTTAGAAATTCAGTTGTCGTAAGAATGGCAGCAATCTGCTTTAAATCAGACGCCATATTTGAAATATCCGGCACATTAACTAGACAGGTATTTCTGTGAAGCTTTTATTAGTTTTTAATTTCAACTTAATGTTTCTTGGTGTTTGCATAAAGTAGTTAATATTGTGAAGCTTGGGAAATATGGTTGGAAAGAAAGAAAAAAAAAAGGAAAGAAAGAAAGAACAAATGTATTTTGGGGAAGAAAGAAAGAAACAAACAAAAGAGAACGAATGTGTCTCCAGGAAGAAATAATGGAAGAAAGAAAGAAAGAAAGAAAGAAAGAAAGAAAGAAAGAAAAGAGAACGAATGAATCTAAATAAGTAAATAAATAAATAAATAAATAAATAAATAAAGAAAGAAAGAAAGAAAGAAAGAAAGAAAAGATAACTCTTGTATCTTTGTGAAGAATGAATGAAAGGAAAAAAAAGAGAACTAATGTAACTCTGGAAAGAAAGAAAGAAAGAAAGAAAGAAAGAAAGAAAGAAAGAAAGAAAAGAAAAAAGAACGAATGTATCTAAAAAAACAAAGAAAGGAAGTAAGGAAGAAAGAAAAAAGAATTAATTTATGTCTGGGAAGAAAGAAAGAAAGAAAGAAAGAAAGGAAGAAAGAAATAATCAAGAAAGAAACAAAGAAAGAAAGAAAGAAAGAAAAGAGAACTAAGGTATCTAAAGGGGGGGAAAGAAAGAAAGAAACAAACAAACAAACAAACAAAGAATGATTAAATCAATGAAACAAAAGAGAACTAATATATCTCTGGGAAGAAAGAAAGAAAGAAAGAAAGAAAGAAAGAAAGAAAGAAAGAAAGAAAGAAAAGAGAACTAAGGTATCTAAAGGGAGGGAAAGAAAGAAAGAAAGAAAGAAAGAAAGAAAGAAACAAACAAACAAACAAACAAACAAAGAATGATTAAATCAATGAAACAAAAGAGAACTAATATATCTCTGGAAAGAAAGAAAGAAAGAAAGAAAGAAAGAAAGAAAGAAAGAAAGAAAGAAATAATCAAGAAAGAAAGAAAGAAAGAAAGAAAGAAAGAAAGAAAGAAAGAAAATAAAATCAAAAAAAGAAAGAAAGAAAGAAAAGAGAACTAAGGTATCTAAAGGGAGGGAAAGAAAGAAAGAAAGAAAGAAAGAAAGAAAGAAAGAAAGAAAGAATAAAGAAACAAACAAACAAAGAAAATGAACGAACGAAATAAAAAAGACAGAAGTAAGAACGTACGAAGGAAGGAAAGAAAAAAAATCGCAGGAAAGAAAGAGGAACTACTGTATATTGAGGAAAAAAGAAAGAAGGATAGTAAAAAAGGAACAGATGAAAGAATGAAAGAATGAAAGAACGAAAGAAAGAAAGAAAGAAAGAAAGAAAGAAAGAAAGAGGAACTAATGTATTTGAAAGAAGAAAGAAAGAAAGCATAGAAAACGGAAATAAAGAAAGAAAGAACTAAAGAAAGAAAGCGCATGAAAGAAGAACAAATGAATCTTAGTAAAAAGAAAGAAAGAAAAGATGTTGTCTGAACAAAAGTTTAGAATGACACATTAATGTTTCTTTGAGTTTGAATAAAGTGGTTATTTAACGTGAAACTTGGAAAATTTGCTAAAATTGATAACACACCCTAAAAATGAAATATACTCTCATATAATTTATACATACTATCTAAAAGATCCTTTTGTGAATTCTTAAATGTTTTTTTAAAGATTCGTAAAATTTAAAGTGGTTAATAATGTGAGGATCAGTGTATATTTTAATAATGATTGACAATTTTTTAATAGCGACTGCCATTTGCCAGAAGGTCATCCATTCAATTTTTGATTGAACAAGGAGCGTATAAATTTCAAAATCCTTCTTCACAAGCTTTTCTGCATTTATGGAAGACGAAAGACTAGTACAGTCTTCGAGGTTATCTGCTACTCTCCAGACCTGCTGCTGACCCACATACTTTGTCACAAAATTTACATAAATTTAATAATTGTTGACCGCTTGTTTCCAAGTATGTTTATCTGCTAGCCATTCCTGTTACTGAGCGCTGTACAGTCACATTGTATTTGTCCAACACCCACTTGTAGTTTATATTGCACTATGTTGATTAGGCATAACAGTTTCTGGGAGAGTGTTCATTGCCTGGCATAATCAAGAGTTTCAGCAAAGGTTGCACGCTCACAACCATCAACGAACAGTTCCATTTACACAGTTTCACTCTCGGTGCTTCCAGAAACTTTCCAAAGGTGGCATACGCCGGGGTCACTTCTTCACGCCGATAACATAAAGAAGTCACTTTTCTGACAAATCGAATTTGTTCATATTCCGAAGTCAGTTTTCATGGACAAAAAGCCAACGTTCTAATCTCATAAATTTAATATGATTTCGTTTGCTATATAGTGTATATGTGTTTAATATAAACATATATACAATCGCAAAATTCACGTGTGTCTAACGTAATCTTGTTAGTAAACCAATGAATGATATTGTAAAAGATATTTAGTCAGAGAATAATACAAAACCGTACTTGAAAATTTTGTTAAGAAGAAAATCTTCAACTATAATCGAAGAAAGAAACCCCAATTGGCAACTGATCAGCGCAGAATATAATCTAGGGATATTTGTATTCTTATAAAATCCACAATCCTCAGTAAATGTCGTTTAATAACCGTCTATTATTGCAGATTGTCCTTATTCAGCGACTGGCAGGCTAACTATTCTATCATTTCGCTGAAAACGTGAATGGGTCGTCTTGAAAATGAACGAGCCTGAACCAACACTGATCAATTATCGGGCGCCATTTTTGTCATTAATGGCTGCTCCATCATTTTCAATTTTGGGTGGGCGGATCTGTTCCTTCATCCTCAGCGAAAATGACGATCAGTTCAAATGACCTCATATTTCATCATTTCTTTCAGTCTGTTTCCAAGACACTTTTCGGGTCTTTTTTTTTTCTATTTCTCTCAAATATTTTTTTCTTCTCAGTTTCTATTTTCATCATTATGTCGCGGTATCAATCTGTTCTAATATCAAGTCTAATATGTCGTGAGTCTGTTCATATTTAACTACCAGAGTTTATCGCATTCAATTGATGCATAACTCAGAAGGAATAATACCTTGTACTTAATAACCCATAGAGAGGGCGACAAGCAAATAAAGCATTCTTTTCTTTCTTTCCTTTTCTTTCTTTCTTTCGTTTTGGTTTCTTTCTTATTTTTAGCTTTTTTATTTCGTTTTGGTTTCTTTCTCCCTTTTTTAATTTGTTTTGGTTCCTTTCTTTCTTTCTTTCTTTCTTTCTTTCTTTCTTTCTTTCTTTCTGTCTGTCTGTCTTTCTTTCTTTCTTTCTTTCATTCGTTTTAGTTTCTTTCTTTCTTTTTTGTTTTGTTTTGGTTTCTTTCTTTCTTTCTTTCATTCATTTTAGTTTCTTTCTTTCTTTCATTGTTGTTTCGTTTTGGTTTCTTTCATTCGTTTTAGTTTCTTTCTTTCTTTCTTTTTTGTTTCGTTTTGGTTTCTTTCTTTGTTTCTTTCTTTCATTCGTTTTAGTTTCTTTCTTTCTTTTTATCTTTTTTGTTTCGTTTTGGTTTCTTTCTTTCTTTCTTTTTTGTTTTGTTTTGGTTTCTTTCTTTCATTCGTTTTAGTTTCTTTCTTTCTTTCTTTTTTGTTTCGTTTTGGTTTTTTCTTTCTTTCTTTCTTTCATTCGTTTTAGTTTCTTTCTTTCTTTTTTGTTTTGTTTTGGTTTCTTTCTTTCATTGGTTTTAGTTTCTTTCTTTCTTTCTTTCTTTTTTGTTTCGTTTTGGTGTCTTTCTTTCTTTCTTTCTTTCTTTCATTCGTTTTAGTTTCTTTCTTTCTTCCTTTTTTGTTTCGTTTTGGTTTCTTTCTTTCTTTCTTTTTTGTTTTGTTTTGGTTTCTTTCTTTGTTTGTTTCTTTCTTTCATTCGTTTTAGTTTCTTTCTTTCTTTTTATCTTTTTTGTTTCGTTTTGGTTTCTTTCTTTCTTTCTTTTTTGTTTCGTTTTGGTGTCTTTCTTTCTTTCTTTCTTTCTTTCATTCGTTTTAGTTTCTTTCTTTTTTGTTTTGTTTTGGTTTCTTTCTTTCTTTCTTTCATTCATTTAGTTTCTTTCTTTCTTTCATTGTTGTTTCGTTTTGGTTTCTTTCATTCGTTTTAGTTTCTTTCTTTCTTCCTTTTTTGTTTCGTTTTGGTTTCTTTCTTTCTTTCTTTTTTGTTCTGTTTTGGTTTCTTTCTTTGTTTGTTTCTTTCTTTCATTCGTTTTAGTTCTTTCTTTCTTTCTTTCTATCTTTTTTGTTTCGTTTTGGTTTCTTTCTTTCTTTCTTTCTTTTTTATTTTGTTTTGGTTTCTTTCTTTCTTTCTTTCTTTCTTTCTTTCTTTCAATCATTTTAGTTTCTTTCTTTCTTTTTTGTTTCGTTTTGGTGTCTTTCTTTCTTTCTTTCTTTCTTTCTTTCTTTCTTTCTTTCATTCGTTTTAGTTTCTTTCTTTTTTGTTTTGTGTTGGTTTCTTTCTTTCTTTCATTCGTTTTAGTTTCTTTCTTTCTTTCTTTTTTGTTTCGTTTTGGTGTCTTTCTTTCTTTCTTTCTCACCTCTTATAATCAATGACTTCTTTGTTTGTTTGTTTCTTTCTTTCTTTCATTCGTTTTAGTTTCTTTCTTTCTTTCGTTTTGTTTCCTTTTGGCTTCTTTGTTTTTTTTCTTTTGTTTCGTTTAAGAACGAAAGATCATGGAAATAAAAAGAAATCCAGTGGGTCATATATCCTTCGATAAAAGCGTTGGTTGAGTAATCCAAAAAGTGACTTGACCCAAAGAGTTGTGAGTTCAATCCCTAGCCACAGCAGAGGGAACAAAAGTTGGAGAGTTGAGTTACTAAATGGAATTAACTAAGACATCCAAAAAAACGTCAAGGCACATTGAATTAGAACAATTTACCCACTTCGATTAAATAAAGGATTTCGGTTCGAAATTCCAAGAAATATCACCAGAAGAAGGCCGGAGCGTAGAACGGCCGAAACCTTGTGAATATGGCAATAAAGATGAGGAAAACAGTTCGAATGATGTAAATAGTGTAAATAAATACATATCATCTCAGAAATATACAGTTGCGATAAATAAATTGTCGTCTAAATTACACCAAAATGAACATAACACTGACATCTTACTTTAACAGATATATTTACCAAAATTATACAAAAATATCTTGAAATACTAAAGAGTAAATTCAGCAAAAAACGCCATTGACTTCAACCACAGCCTCCAGACAACTTCGGAATCTCCTGCAACTCTTCTGGGCGGTTTGCTTTTTTAGGTTGGCGAGTGTTGGCATAATCCTTGCCTTCAGTTCGTCTTTGGTGTTATAAGGAGTTTTGTTGGTTTTTCACTCAACTGCGTTCAACATATAATAATCAAGTGGGTTGCAAGTCTAGGGAATTAGGTCACCAGATGTAAGGGGGTGATGTGGTCGCAGAAATTGTCTGACAGCCATGACTGGATTCTCCTGCTTGTGTGGAATGAAGCGGAATACTGTTGCCACACAGAGGAACTTCTAGAAACCACTCTTCACCGAGGGTACCACTATCTCCTCAAGACACTTGATTTAGGCATCCGTATTGAGTCTGAGTTCCTGTGGGAAGATGAATGGAGGCATAACGCCTCTATTCATCTTCCCACAGGAACTCAGACTCTGTTATAAGAGTCGTCATCACTAGTGATCACTTCATACGCCTTCGTAATGACCATTAGACTCACCCGAAAAATTCCGAATCCTCTGCACTGTCCTCAGACTGACACCCCAACACGCTTAAATGTTCATATTGGAGCTTCAGGCGCGAATGCCAAGTAGTAGAGCGTTTCTAAATTTCTGGCGGAGTGAATAACGTAATGGTGCTCTTTTTCTCCCAGACAGTGCCCAACTGACCCTACTATACTGTGCAGTCGACAAAATTAAAGAAAAACAACGCGCATGCGCGAAATTAAAAATATAAATTGGTGACAATTTATCCGTCGTTCTCTGTAGACAGATATTTAATAGAGTATTGAAAATTCCTCGGACAGACCAAAATCAGCCCAAATTCTTTTCGTAACTCTTATTGGTTGGGGCGAGAACTTTTCATCACCTCCTCGTATTTCTGATCAATCTGTTTATAGGAAGTGCGTTATGGCCTGTATTGATCCGTCGAAAGATAAGCTTAGGTCAGATTGCACTTATATATCGATCTGTCTTTTTTCCGACCATCGACCGATTTTTTTAATGTTTTTTTTTTGTTTTTCCATCTCCGAATAAGCGACCACGAATGGCGCTTTATTCTTCCTGCAATCTAAATGAAATATCAACAATGGCATCCAAAAATCGAATACATTCAACTCGTCACGTTCGGTTTATAGCACTAAATTAGAAATGACTTAATTTCCATTTGCTTTCTATTTCGTTGAGTCATAATTAATTCACGATTTTGCATTTCAAATTGATTCTTCATAATGTTACAAGTTTCACCAAAATGCAAATTGCTTACGAGTCAAACTAATAGCTAGCTAGCTAAATAGACATGCAAAGTGACAGATGTGGACAGAGATAGACAGATAAATATATAGATACGAACAGAATGAGATGGATAGATAGATAGATAGATAGATAGATAGATAGATAGATATGAATAGATTGAGATACACAGACAGATATATAGATATGAACAGACTGAAATAGATATGAACAGACTATGGCAGACAGACAGGCAGACAGATAGATAGAGAGAGAGATAGATTGATAGATAATGTACAGACTGTGATTGATATGGACAAAAGGACATAGATATGAACAGACTGAAATAGATATGAACGGACTATGACACACAGATAGATAGATAGATAGATAGATAGATAGATAGATAGATAGATAGATAAACAGATCCTATAAACAGATTGATAGATAATGTACAGACTGTGATTGCTATGGACAAAAGGATGTAGACATGAACAGAATGAGAAAACTAAATAGCTAGATAGATATGAAGAGCGTGAGATAGCTAGATAGCGTCATGGTCCGCCTTTTCTCACAGACGATGCGCAAAATGACTCTACGATACCGTGCAGTCGACAAAATCAAAAACAACAAACGCGCATGCGCGAAATTAAAAATATAAAATGGCGAAAATTTAACCATTGCACCCTGTTATAAAACTTAATAAAGAAAATATGTTCACCGGCAGTCTTTGAACCTGCATCTCCATTTTTAAGATAAATGCCCATTTAATTCGGTGTGCTTTAAACTGCTCGGCCACGCAGAGCGTCACAGCCCAATTTCATAATGCACCCGGTTAAAAATAAAACATTTGAAAACACGGGTATATATTTTTCCCATATATATACAAAAAAAGTTTAACTTAAAAATAAGAAAATCGGTACTCAATTATTGAAACTTCCTGACGTTAGTCTACGAAACTTGGAGTCGGGATACTGAATATAGGTAAGTGACAAATCTAATTTTTGTATTAATCCTATATATATATATATATATATATATATATATATTTCTCAAAAAGGTGTGTGTATATGTATGTGTGTGTGTTTGTGTGTGTGTGTCTGTGTGATCGGATGTTTATGCATTTCCAAAGTTTTCCTTCGATTTCGATAAATTTCTTTTTGTTTGATAGATAATTCTTCGGTACCAGTTTTGAGTCCAAATTCTTGGTGACAATGGCTCTCCACTACATCCTGTCCATTATAACACTCAGCAACGTTTTTTTACTATTTACTTTCTTGGATATATGTCTTTCATAAAATCTTTAATAAAATAAATAGTTTAAATTATTACAATAATATTATTTATTATTATACAGTCCCTTTTTCAGGGACACCCCCATTCAAATTGTTAACCCCCATTTGGGGGATGCGCCTCAGTTGCACCCAATTGTTGTTACTAATATTGATTTTCGGGTGGGCGGACTTAAAATGCTCCAACTTAACGGCAAAAATTCCCAGTAAAAGAAGGGTTACACTCCTAGTATATATATATATATATATATATATATATATATATATATATATATATATATATATATATTTGGGTGTGTTGTGTGTGTGTGTGTGTGTGTGCCTGTGCTTGTGTGTACGTGTATCCGTTTTTTCTAAGAATCTCAATTGAATGAAATAATAATCGCTCCCTGCTTTCTGTATGAATTTCTTTCAAAGGATTTTGTCAATGTTCAGTTCATCTTGGAATGACGATCCTATCAAAATTGTTGCTTCGAAATAAAAATTAATTCCGTTTTGTCTTTATAAAAATTTGCAAAAATCAAATATAAATAAAAAGGGGAACTTGAACTGAAATAACTTTTTGTGAAAATAAATTTTTTTTTTCTCTTTTTCAAAATTTGCATAATAACTCGTTATATAGGAATAAAGTGTCGCTGCCGACACTTGAGTTTGAACACAGATCGCCAGTGAGCAAACACAGGCGATCCCATTATTAAATTAAGTAGACCACGTGACCTTAGAGAAAACGCGTATGTAGGAAGACGCGTGACGTCAAATTGATCACATTTCTAGTCTATCATCTATTACTCTACGGATCACCATTTCTATTCTGTCTTCTATTACTATAGGGACCGCTATTCTCTACTCTATTCACTATACTATTTCTCTATTCAGATCACTATACGGGTTACAATTCGAGCGAGTATTATCGAGCAAGTACTATTAGTGTGAGTGCTATTCGAAGGCGTCTGACACCAGTATTGTTCAACGGCGTTACTAGAGTTGTATCTGTGATTACAAAGTCTCTACTACAACGAGCATTTGCGAAAGTGACAACGAGTATTCGTTGATATTACAAAAGTGGCAACGACTGTTCCAAGAGCATTAGTGTGGATTGAACACAGATTATCTTTAGACGGATTTTGAGCTCATGGCTTCCATATGCGCTTTTGTTTTGTAACTAAATAAATATCTACATCGACGCCTACAATAATGCCGCGTCCGATTTATGCGGCATCAGCTTGGACAGACGACATTATTCACTAGTGACGTTCAGATATCGCTGAGTTGGCTGTAAATGTAGTTGTATTACGCCACTCTCCTGTCAAACCCCGGACAATGCGGTCGTTGCATATTTATGACGAGTCAGTTTGCGGATGATCAGATTATTTAAATGACGTTTGGAATCACATGGGCAACGAGTTCTATTGGACCGTAATCTGTCTTGTGTCCATTTATACGGGATCTTTTGAAATGAGAATTTATCACTATCACACGCCATTCCATCTGGAGTATCTTTATTTTCATTTTTATTGAACCAGATAAACGAAATCATGAGTCCTTATATACATACTAAAAAATTCATTTTAAGCACATATGACGCTGAATAAGAAAAAAAATGTTCATTTCAATTACCCCCCCCACCGATACATTTATAATACTCTTGCTTTTTTCTTCTTCTTCTTCTTCTTCTTCTTCTTCACGTCCTCCTCCTCCCTTTCTATCAA